ATTAAGGAGGACCGACCCCCTCGCTCCCCATGTGCCCACCCCTTTTCATTTTTGTCAGCTCTCTCTATATGTCCTAATTATTTCTATTTGGGATGCCAGCGCCGTTTCCTGGCCAAAGGCGACCGAGCTGAAATAAATAGTGAGCACGTGGGTTCCTCTCTCTTCACGTGTCAGTTTTCAGTGAATTGGTGAGATCATACAAACTCGAGTATTTTTAAATTAATCTCTGCGAGTCTATTAATTTATTACGCTGCGTAAATCAATATTTCCGTAAGGAAAAACGAAGCTGACTTTTTTGTTTGCTTGCGTTAACATTTAAATTTTTTTGCGCGCAAATTTAAGTAGAAAATGCATACTTTTCACAGCAACATAACACCAAATGAAACCTAAATAAATAAAACCCTAATTCTTGTTTGGCAATGTGTCTAGCTAACAGCTCTCCAAAGGTATTTACATAGCCTATAATACATTTTTGTAAATGTATCTTCGTGTCATTAGGCATCCAGAGTTTTCGATGAGCCAGGAGGCAGTTTTTACTCGATCCTTACGCACTTTTGCTGAGCGCATAACGTATTTTCAACGACGAGCATGCTTGATGGAAATATTTGAAAGGCAACGCCAATCACCCTCGCTCACGAGGATTTTAGATTTTAGTGCGACTGAATACATGGGAATGCTCGCCGGTGACAAGAGGAATCTTGCGATCGTTCCCTCTGGCATTGACAGTCAACACGCAAAGGTATGTATAGCAGCTGCTCTCTAGACAGAGTAAGGTGGTCTCCATTGCTAGTATATGTGGATGCCCTCATATTCTGACCACTGATATCAGAATCTTATTTTTAAATTGATTACATACTCATGCCTACTTTCTGTCCCGTGAGAAACTGTAATTGAGTGCAGTAAGTTGATAACAAACCTATCAATCAAAACGTGATGCTGACTTTCCAGGATCTGTGTGGGTTTCAGAATGTGGGACTCACAGCACAACTCTCTCTCTCTCTGTCTGTGTGTATGTGTGTGATCGTAAAGTTGAAAAACATTCTCAATAAAATGATTTATATCACTTATCTTATACAATGTGTCTTCAATTCATTTCCATTCTGTCATTAACTGTATAGACTATCTGAAACATCACAAAAAGATGTCAGCACACAAGGTGTTCTGAAGGCCTGTAACATACACAAATAATGGAACTCTTGCCTTATAGGTCTCTAATTTTGGCCACATCCAGGTCAAAAGACAGCTATCATTAATCTGATATGATGGTTTTCTGACTGCATTGGTTTAGGTGAATAATGTCATCAACAGTTCATATCTATTAAGACAAATAATAGCTTGATTAAGTTGGAAAACATCTCCCTCATTCAGGCCTTATAGAGCATAGCCAAATACAAATAACAATCTCAGAGCACTGCTAAAATCAGTAAGAGTGAATAAAACATTTGACTCACATGCTCACATGAAGCTAGTCTAAGCATTATCACATATTATGTATAAAGAAAACAAAAATACATTATTAACACACATGTGAAAGTTGATTGTCTTTCCTGAAACAACACCAGCACCAAAAACGTTTCTTCTGTCTAGAATCATAAAGAGGTTTGATCAACATAAGTTATTAAATTAGAATCAATGACAGCTCACATAACATCTCATAAAAATTTGTGTGATAGAAGATAAAGGTGTGTTTGATGCATGACCTGCAATCAAAATCATTGTCTAAGCAGCACAACATGAATACTTCTGTTCCAAAATGCAAAATTAAATTCCCTTGCGCATAATGACAAGTTGTGAGACTTTGTCACCTTGTATTATCACTGCATGAGAAGTTGGCCTTGAGACAAGTGCTTTGTGTTAGACCAGTTCAAAGTATGTTAACATCTATGACATTGTTCTACAATGTAGCTTTAATATATCGAAAATAAACTCCAATGTACAATTGTGAAATTTCTTTCGTCAAAATCTGTAATGCAACTATAGCACTGTATTATTCTTAATGGCCACAAAAAAAGAAAGAAAAAAAGAGAAGTGTTTCCAGATGTACTCACTTGAGCAAAGGTTTTTTTATAATTATGCCGAAGTCGACGTGACCAGATGCAACTCCTGCTGTAGGTATGAAGCCGGCGTGCACGGGCAGCTTTCGGTTTAAAATTGCCGCTAATACGCAGTTCATTACGCGTGCCTCAGCGGCTGATTCTCTCAAGAGCACAGTCCAAGCGCACGAGAACGACAGCTACCGTATAAGCGAGAGCCAGTGAGAGGGGGAGAGAGAGAGGAGGGGTTGAGAAGTTTCCCATAACCTATTTGTCTGCAGCACCAAATAGAAAAGTGCACTGTTGAGCAGAGAAGGACGGCATG